ATGGGGTGCAACTCAGCCTGGTTTCATGTGGTGTTGCAATCGAAACTATTGAATCTCAAAATGGAATATAATTAAGGCTGGGTTAATAAAGCATGTTCCACTCTTAGCCAGCAAAGGGTGTCATATTTCTCCTTGCAGCTTTAGGCGAGGAAACTTAATCTCCAGCTTTGTCAGGGCAGACTGAATCAGAGGTGTGTCATCGAGCGGAAAGCTTCTTGTTTTACTTGTTGCAGTCGCTACACAGCCAGCTTCATCTCTCTGCGTTTGCGCTGTGCACACAGAACCCAGGCCTGGCAGGGCGCTCAGGGAGGGCCTATGCTGCAGTACCCTTGAAGGCTCATCTGCCTTTCTATCAGAGGAGTTAGGGGGCCTTTCCCTTGTGTTTGGCCCTGAGACCAATCCTGCAGAAGGTACCCTCCAAGAACAGGAATTATTGAGGGCACAAGGATGGAATGCTGTGGCTCAAAATATGGAGTACATTGTTTTAGACACCAGAGTTTGACAACAGCTTGAAGGCTTCTTGGTTTTTGTCTGACCTTTCTTGGTATTTGAATCCTTTCCCTTTTTCTCTTTCTTTTACACATTTTGCTATCCATTCTTCAGGACTCAACATGACAGATTCCCTGACACCCTCCAGCAAAGATAGTTAATATTCCTTGACCCTGCTTCAGCTCCAAAACCTACTGAATTGCCAGTATTGAATAATAATGGCCACTTATTTTTCTTATTATGGTCTAGGCTCTGTGCCGGGTATGTTTACATTATGTAATCTAACCATCCAGGCGTCGCTTATGTTATATATGTGAAGGCTGGGGCTTAAAGAGAGTAAGTACATTTCCCAGGGATAGATAATGAATTCATTCACCCTACGGAAGTTTATTCAGCACCTGCTACTTGCTAGGCACTCTTTCAGGTCCTGACGGTCCACCCCTACATAGACAAAAATATCTGTCTTCACAGAATTTATTTTCTAGCATTTGTGTGTATGTTAACTCTTATAAACAGTGAATGATTAAATAATGCACTGTATTAGGAGGATATAAGAAGAATAAGACCTGCAAAAATGCAAATGTTAAGGCTGAGCTGGAACATGGACCCAAATCACTTTATGTGTGGCATGTATCTGACCAGTTATATTGCCTATGGCTTGAGGGGCTCTACTTTTAATTATTATTTACCTCCCAGCCTCCCCCATTTCTCTGAGATAGGACCCTGCCTTGATCGGGTTCCTATCCTGGCAAATAGCTGTCACAGAATCAGAATTCAGGGAATGTTTGTGCAGCATGTGTGTTAATGAGTGAGTGATCACGTGATGACACCAAGAATCTGCCAGAGAGCCATAATTTCTCACGGGTCTGGCTGGTCCTAGAGGATCAGTGCCACCACAGATGTGTCCTGTTACACTCAGGCAAGTGTTGGAGCCTATAAAACCTGCAGAATGGGAAAAACAATGGCTGTGTTTGATGCCCTAATAGATTAACTGCAAGGATTAATGAGTCACTGCGTGCTCAAAGACTTCAGCTCTTTGGAAGACAAGGACACCTGTTATTCTCAGCAATGTGTCCACTGTTCAAAATTCCATCCAGGAGCTGCTGTGGTATTTTCAGGAGGGATTGTCTCAGAGAAATAGTTCATTTTACTAATAGTATTTCTAAAGTAGGTTTTATAAACTGCCCCTTTTAGACTGTGGGCCTGTGTGAGGATTCACCACCATTCACCAACTGTGAAAACACATCTCTTTCCCCGTGGTCTAAATGGGCTCTTAGTTTAGCTTTTTTTTGGTACTGGGATTTGAACTCAGGGCCTTGCACTTGTCAGTGGGCTCTTAGTTTAAAATCAACTCTCCGTGGATGTTTTTCTCCACAATGGAAGTAAAAAATGAAATTTTTTTCTTTATTTAAAAAGAATTCAGTCAGTGATACCTCATTTATTGGGTTTAAAAGTACAACTACTGGAAATCTTGTTGGCCAGAAGCCAAAAAAAAAAAAAAAAAAATCCTAATAAAGTGATCTTGAATCCTTGTTTCCTAGAAGAAAAGGCTTTACCTTTGGACACTGGGAACAGAAAATGGGAAATCCCAAGAACGTCACAATAACGTGAACACTGAGCAGGATGGTTCTGTTTATTCTTCTTTGGTTGTTGGTGATTCAGCACCCTAAACCTGTTCAGTCACTCCTACACTCAGAATGCAGCAGGGAGGCCAGCTCAGTATTTTCCTGTTCACCCACTGCTGTGTTTTTAAGCATAATGAACTCAGTTAACTAAATGTATTGCCAAGTTCTAGTTGACGTTAGCAAACAGGTCAGCATTGCGGCATTTTCTTGATATGGACAATGTGAATTCTTAAGATTGGAGACTGTTTCCTGGTAGGGAAAATCACCTATTATCACTCAGCAAAGACACATAATAACAGTTTTGGTTTCTGTCTCTGTCTCCTCTCCAAGAGTTCAAAGGTCTCTGTTGTGTTTTATCTCGGTCATCTCTATAGCTCTGTTGTGAAGGCAGAAGAGGTGTTATCATCTCTGTTTTGGAGAAGGGAAAACTGAGGCATATTTTGTTGAGTTGTCCCTCTTTGTGCTGATGTTACTTGACTCAAGTTCAAATCTCTTTCCTGCTAAGACAGCTAATCAATTTAGGATGTGGCATTTAAGACCTATTATCTACAGGGCTGGTCCATGCCGGACACCATAGACACAGTACTTACTAATTTCATCAAATAAATATTTCAAGGTAGCCACTGTGAATGACATTTGATGGTTTAAATAGCTTGTTTGAGTTGGTAAGTAACTTGCTACTCCGATACTTACAATACTATTGTTTCCAAGTTCAGTGTCGTTGTCTACATGAAGACATTGCTTTTTGTGTAATAAGTGGCAGAACTGGCCCTGGTTCTGTTGGAGTTATAGTATGTCCTGGTCTAAGTTAAGATGCTGTTGCCTTACGCAGCTAACTTGACATGTGTTCATATAAATATTTTGCTCAACATTTATTTTAGTTGGGTAGGAAAGAAACTGATTTTCTATTAAATTGAATTCCTTTCAGTCAGTGTTTATATTTAAACTGAGGAATTGGTTATATGCATTGACTCTAATGAAACATTTCAGTGTATTTGAACAGCTGTCCAGTTCACAGTTTTTCCATCTCTGCTAATTGGATAGTGTAAGTCACATTCAGAAGGTAACTTCCAAGAATATAGTTGCACAGTCTCATTCAAAAGTAGTGTAAAAATTGGTTTTCCTGGTATACCTTTCAGCAAAATGTTCTCACTTTCTCATTCATTCTCTCTGTAGCTTTTTGGGGGGAGAACAGGAGTGGAGGTAGTTTTCTGGACCAGACAACTTCTTGCTGTGCCTCTCAAAAGGATTGAATTTTCAATATTACACAAAAGCACCTGTTACCAGGAAACAGCATGACTCCGGCTTTGATGTAGTTTCAGATTTTTCCCCAACCTTCAGGGGATGATCGACTTATGATAGCCAGGCTATCCTTACACTGAGAAGTCTCCATAATAAAATCAAGCAATAGAGCTAGGGTGATCCAGTGAATCATAGTATAAAGTTTCTGTTCAAGGGATGATCTCCGTTTTAAAGAGAGTTGAACTAGTTCAGTTATATCAGTTATGTAAGTGAAACCTGTGCCAGCTGCCATTGTATTCTGATTTATGCCTGTGATGTTTTAAAATTTGTGGCAGAGAACTCTCAGCTGAGTACATATTCTGATCTTCTCTCTGTTTTGAGTGTCGAGAGGACCTCGTGTTCTAATATTCTTGCAATTTAATGGGCCATGGGCTGATACTGGCTAGTGGACTCTGAGCGGAAATGATATACACATTTTTGGCCAAAGTGATTAAAATGAGGGTGAGTCTCCCTCCATCTTTCCTTTGCAGAGAGAACTCAAGTGTCATGTGTTAGGATGATAGCAAACCCAGGAACCATCTGCTGGGATGGTGGTGAGTCCAGAAGCCATGTGCTAGGATGGTGATGTCACATGATGCCTTGCTCCTCTGCCAGCCTGGGTCTCTGAATGACTAGGTAACTGACCTGCATCAGCTATGCGCCATGACAGCTTTGTAGTAGTAAACCCTTGAGGGATTTAATGGGCACCCTGAGTACTATAGCTGAAATCCTGGTATCTGCTCCTTTCTCTGGATTTTGTATTTTTTTTTTTTACAACTTAAACCTCTATTCCTCTGTTTGTCATTTATAAAACTAAGGTACTCTGTGGACAATGTAGGTTTGGGTCAGTTCCTATGGAGCTCTCCAGAAAGATCCTTTGTTGATTCTGGCAAGATGAGCGTTGCCACTAGCCTGTGCAACACACATCTCCCTTGCTGATCTTCCCATTTTGGACTTTGAGTGTAGAAGGCAGAGCATGAAGTGAAGATTGAAAAGGACAATGAGAAGAGGAGAGTATAGGACATTGTGGGGATAATGAGTGTTTTGATGTAATTAGAATTGAGAAAATAAGATACAAAAGGAACTAGAATCTTCTACTCTGGCCCCACCAAACAATGTCACTTATGGGCGTAATCAATAGTACCTTCATCATTTCACTCTCATTTCCTTGAGGAAGTTATTTGTGCATTCTACACACAGGAAGACCTGACCTGAGCCAGATCCTCAGGTGGAGAGATGGGGAAGGAGTATGCCTTGGGCTCCAGTTCCTAATCTTGTAAGGGAGGTGTTGTAGTCAGGGTTTGCAAGGGAAAAATTTAACACAGGACACATAATTTATAGGATTATTTTATAATATTTACCTAAAGAGTCAAATGCAAAAAAGTGTGGGTGATATGTCCACATACTAGAGACTCAAAGAATCCAGGTGAGGGCCTGGATCCCACAGCAATGTCCAGGTGAAGACCTAGAGCCCATGGCAATGTCCTCCATGAGCCCAGCTGGAGGCCTAGAGCACACAACAATGTCTCATGCAAATTTGTATCAAGGATCTGCAGTGGGAAGGCCCAAAGGCTAGTGGTGGAAGCTAGAAAGTTTGCACCAGTGGGATGAAGGATCTATGCCAGCAGGCTGAGAGATCTGCACTGGGCCCAGGAAGTGATGTTCAAAGTAAAGACCAGATCTCCCCCAAAAAGAACCGCAGTGGTCCTCAGCGACAGCAAGGTCCTGAGCTCCTTGGACAATGAGAACAGCTGAGTTCCTACCAGCAAAACAAGTGTGACAAGCTTTTCCAGAAGAGTCAACAGTACACATCTTCCCCTCCAGTTCTCTTTGTGCTGTTGGCAACAATCCGCAGGTGAGCCCTCCACATCCAGAGTCTTGCTGATTCAGTGCAACTGGGTGTTACAAAGTGACCACTAGTTAATCCAACAGAGGAAGCATTCACCTAAAAGGGAATTTGAAGTTCCCTGAAGCAAAGAAAGAGATAGAGAACAGTTTAGAGGCAAGAGTGACTGGCCAGTGGCTGGAGTGAGTGGCTACAGGGTGAGACAGAAGTTTCTTTTAGGGGTGTATGTCACTGGGTACAGGCCCAAGGTTATTGGGCCAAGAACATTATCTACTCAGTTTCCCTAGACCAGTGATGGTGAATCTTTTAGAGCTTTCAATGATATAAACAGCCTGCTGTGGCACGTGTGCCATAGGTTTACCACCACTGCCCTAGACCTTAGTAAGCATACTCTCATGCTGAGTAAATACTTACCCTTTATTCTGTGGTATAGAAGCTAGATGTCAATGCTTGAATTTTATAGGGTAAAAAATACTTTACAGACACTATATCAAGGAAGTAGCAGTAAAAATATATTGATATCAATACCTGCCTTTTGTGAAGGATTAAGATGTTCTAAGTTTTGTGTACTTTGTGTATTATGTCATCTAATCCCACAACCCACTTGCAACGTTTATTCCTATGCTACAATTTCAGAGGTGCGAAGCTAAGTGCACAGGGGAGTATGTTAGTTGTCTAAGGTTTTTAAGAAAATCATGCTGCTGGACTTTGAATCTAGCTGAATTTGGTATCATAGGCCAAGCTTGTCTTTGTTAGGCAATACTGTCAGATTAGCAAGGAGAGGAAATTATTCCTCAGTCATTTCTTGGTGCATGTGGAAACAAAGCAGATGGCATTGAAAGGTCTGAAGTGACAGTGACTCCTGCCCTAGAATGGAATCTTCCTTGCAAAGAGCAGAACTTGTTTCTACTGCTGTCTTCTAGCCATGGTGGAGTCAGTGTTGGCTTCCTGAGCAGGGCTATGCAAGTTCTGACAATTTCTTTTCTTTAGGATCTTTTCTTCTAGACTAGCACATGTCCTTCAGATCTCACCACCAGTTCAGACATAAGAGTGCTGGAATGCTGACTTCCAACTCTGACGTATGGGCTGTGACCGCTGTATTTTATCAACAGAACTGAGGCAGTAAATACCATCTGGGATACTTTTGATCTGTCAAAGCACACAGATACCCTGCATACTCTTCACTAGTTTCTCTTCCATAAGAATTATTGTGGATCAGTTTACATCTTTCCCATCATTGCATAGTTGTGTTCTTCTCCCCTGCTTTGATTTGGAAGGTAAGTGAAAGATGGCTTGGGAAGATGGTAAAATTTCTCTGCTGTGAAGACTTCCCCCATTCACTGTCTCAGGAACAGCTCTGCATGAGAACTTCTCCACATAGACCATAGTGCCCAGAACAATGGCTGAGGGCAGAGTAGCATGAGGAGGGACTCGAGGGGCTTCATAGCCACACTTCTCCTGGAGGATCCGGGGCAGGTGGCACTGCACAAGGCCCATATGGTTGGGATTGGAAAGTTGAGCAAGACTTTTGCACAGGGAAGAAGGAAAGACATTCCTCTCGGGGGAATAGAATGTGCAAAGCATGACAGCCAGAGAAAGACGTGGGGTTTAGGGTAAATGAGCAGATTGATCTGGCTGGAAGTCAAAGCCCTTGGAAGACTGGAAGCTGCTGGAGGCCAAAAGCTGTGTCTTGTCCTGGAATCCAGAAAAAGCTGAAACACAGCAAATGCTCAGTTATAATTTGTTGTTTTACTAGTAGGTGGTTGAACCGATGAAGCAAAAAAAGGAATTCTGAAAAGGCCTTTGCACCTCCCTGAAGCTCTTACAGTCATCAGCTCCCTGTCAGAGCCCAGCGTTGGATGGGGCATCAGTGCCAGCTCTTTGCTGCCCATCTGCTGACTTAGACTCATCTGTAACAGAGGAGGCCCCCTTTCCCCTCACTTTCTTTCCTCTTTGCAGTCCTTTCTGCTTAAAAATTCGACACAATCCACCTGTTTTTCTTATCTCAGTTTTTCTACCTTTTTGGTCTTAATAGAAACAAACCTAGATTTGGAGTTGAAATCCTTAGGTTCTAATCTCAAGCTTTGCTACTTCCTAGCTAGGTAAACTTCTGCACTTCACTCGATCGCTTGATGCCTTAATTCCGTCATATGTGAAATGGAAATAATTATGCTTACCTTGTGGAATGTTAGGTAGCTCAAATGGACTGTGTCTTCTAATGATTTGTAATAGGTGTTGTAAGAAGGTGAAAGAAAATCTGTACTGTGGTCCTATGACTGTGGGAGGGTTTGGGCTAAAAAAATATATAAAATTCTCAAACCGTTAATAAGTTATATATCTTGTGCACACCAAAAGGGAAGTATCATGGGTAAAGGTATCAGATACAATATCTTGGTGGCAGGCTCTCTTTCCTGCCTAATGCCCCTTTCTCTTTTCTTCTTTGCTGTAATAACTCCTGCCATGTGGCATCAAATATGCCTTCCTTTTTTGCACCTAGCTTGTCTATGGCAGTTCAGAGCTTGTGCTCTAGGTCAGTTAACTCTACCTGTGGGTGCTGAGGACAGCAGGTGATTTTTGAGCAGATCGTTACAGAATGAGTTAGGAGCTTTCACCAGAAATAAAGGCAGGAAACTGCAGAAGGCACAAAGCACATCATGTCACAACTTGTGTGTGTGATTCCCGCCCCCCCGCTTACTCAGACCTTTGTCCCAAGTGTGAGTAATGAAGCTCCGTGAAAGTAAGGGGTTAGAGGAAAACGACATAAATCATTAGCTTCCTATTATACAGTGACAGCATTATTTGCTCACAAGACCAAGCCCCGTGACCTCCTTCTGGTATAATTGCATGCTGTGTTTGGGGAAGTGGGGCATTCCCCAGACTGACCTCAAGGCACACCCTAGTCCTCCTTGCCTCAATGACAGAAGGAGCAGCAGGGAGGAGCAGCTCCCCCACAATGGTCAAGGCGTTCTTTGAGCTTGACTCTTCCTCCTGACACTCCCTGGCACAGCCCCTGGGACACGGATGTGAGTATCTGTGAGTGGCATCAGGCCCTGAGCGCTGAAGCCTCATGTTAGCAGTGGCACCATCACTTCTGCTGCGTAAAAGGTGATGGCTTTGCAGAAAAACATAAGCAGATGGGGATGACAAGCACAGCTAAGAAACGAGTGCAAAGACAAGATCACACTGAGCTAATGTCATACCATGGACAGCTGGAGACAGGAATGAATGGTGAACCTGGATGGTCTCGTGCAAACTCAAGGGAACTCGTTCTGCCTCTTGGGAGTGCCCCTTTGGATTCCAATCATCAGAGCTATTTTGGGGAGTTTGTTCCAGACCACACAGTTTTGGATAGGTTCCTTCCCTTGGGCTGTTTCACACTTCAGCACAAGTTATTAACACTCTCCCTGTTCCCTGCTCCCTTCACTAGACTGTGAGCTCTTGTTAAATGGAGGGCCTCTGCCTTTGTTTCCCTAGCGTTACCCAGAAGAAGTGCCTGATCATTGAAAGAATGCATTTCTTTAAAACATTTTAGTGACACTCAGGTGTGATTTCCTGTTTAATGTCATCATTGTTGCTGTATGCATTCTTTTAGTACTCAGAAATGACTAAAACCTTATTTTTTTTAATCTAAGTCCAGCAGTCCCATTGGAAAGAACAGTTCCTTCTTTAGAGATCATATACCAAGGGCTGCCATGTTGTTTTATGTATGTTGTACTCCACACTGCAGAAGGTGGTTAAATTAAACTAAATTTGTCCTGAGAAGGCCTCTGTACTCGAGTCCTTAGGTAATGAAGGACATCCTATCTTAGTATGTAAAGTCATTGAAAGCTTGATATAGTAGTATACTTTTGCAACAAATGTCGTAGCCAACTCTCAACCAATCACAGTAGCTAAACTTCAGTCAATCACAAGGACCAACCAATCAGACCATGTTCAAGTGCAAATACTGAGCTGTAACCAATTCAGCTGTCTCTACCTTGACTTCTGCTTTCTGTGCATAAGTGCTACCTGCTCACATATTGAAAAGCAAGCCCTCTAAACCTGTTCTGGTTTTGAGGGCAGATACATTTGTGAATCACTTCTTGCTCAACTAAATTCTGGTAAATTTAATGAAAGTCCTTTTGTACAACAAGGTACACAGTTGACAAAAGCATTTCACCATTTCACATACAAGGCTCCAAACTGGTACTCATGATAGTCCTTAGGCTGAGAAGGCGCTGTCATTTCCAGTCATTACCATTCTGCAGACCAGAAAGCTGGGGCTGAGCGAGGGCAGGTGCTCACTAGAGGGCAGAGACTCACTCCTAGTGCTGCTTCCGTGGGATTTCTGCTTCGCATTGCTGTCTCACCCGCGTCAGGGGTGGTTATTGCACATTTATTCATTTAATAATAAAAGGTGACTGATTTCTTTTTTTTAAGGTGACTAATTTCTAATCCACTCTCTCAATGGTTTAATAGGCAAATAAATTGTATACTAAGATGCACTTAAAGAAAAATTATTGCCATTCTTTAAACTGAAAAGGAAGTGATTATTATAATAAGGGTGATGTTGCGAACAGGCTCTGTCCCATCCCCCGCAGCAGTGTCTGCTGCCTGGCTGTTCATGTCTTTGAACATTTATCCTGAGGCCGAGGCTTCCTGAGTTAGGTGATGCTGCTGACAGCTGGGACTCTCAGTGGGGGGTACAGTATGAAAGCAAACTTTGAAAGTATTTTCCGCTTCAAATTCAGATGACCGGGAAGAGAGATGGATCAAATATTTGAGTAAACATGGCAGAGGGAAACCAGCTATAACACATAATTCGGGGATTTATTTATTGATTTTGTAGCAGTTGTCAGATCCCTCATTTCATGTTCCTGCTTGTTACTGAACATTATTGCCTCTGAAAGTCCTGACTGCACGATGAAATCACCTGACCACCCAGCATGAAATTCTTACCTGGATTCAAGACAAGAAGCAAGCCATCTCTGTAAGACCTCTGACAATGTCTGTGTGGGCTTCAGGGCGACAGATCTGGAAACAGCAGTGAAGGAACAGTTTTCCATTTTCACTTTCCTCAGGGACCAGCCCTTGCCTTCGTCCCAGGGGCCATAGAGAGCAGCTTAGAGGTTTGTTAGGATGCTATTTTTTAGGTGAAGCCAGGGTGAGCATTTTCTAAGATCGTCAAAGCTGCTTAGATTCTCTGCATTTACTCCTGTAGCTACTAAGTAGAAGCTTGAAGTAACTAAGGAAATTGAAGTCATTTCCACTTTCAAGCCTGACTTCCCTACAAGGAGACGAGAAAGAGGCCCTCTTGGGTCCTATCAGGCAGCCTGGTTGGGCTTTGGCGCTTCAGGCAGCCTCCTGTGAAAGGACGGATGGAAGAGCCAGCAGTTACTCCCCAGACCTCCCAGCAGTTCAAGGATCTATCAGCAGCAGCCTTGCATGGGGCGTTTAGGAGCCCTCCCAGCAGCTTTGATCCTAAACCATGTGTGCTTCTTGAGTTTCTTGGATTGGCCTACAGTGGAAGGAGCAGAGCAGGCCTGAGGCCCAAAGCAACCTGGGAGGGGAATCCCTTATCTCCTAGAAGGAGGACCTTGATTGCTGTCCAGTCAGCTGTCACGTGGCATCTGGCTCACATAGTTCTAGAATCAGGAGTGCTCTGCTTGCTATCTCTCTTCCTGCCCGTCCCATCAAGAGGCAGGCTGACTGTCTGCACATTTCTTGGGGAGAACGGTGGCTGTAAGGCTGTGGGCCTGGGGCAAAAGCTGGAGCCAGTTCTCACAACAACCCTGCCAAGAGGCCGACTTCATGCTGTGCAGAGGATCAAATATTCAAAACTGGATGGACTGAGGTCTTTTAATTCCCACTGTACCACCAACAATCTTTATGTTCTTGGGCAATCAACTTAGCAATCAGAACTTTAGCTTCTCCATCTATATAAAAAGGATGATACTGGTACCTGTTTCACAAAGCATGAAAGATTGCTTGGATTAATGTAAGTAAAGTTGTTGGCATCCAGCAGACACCCAATAAATGCTCTTCATCTTCCATTCCCTGCTGGGAGGAAGGCCTTTCCTCTGATATTTGGTCCTGACCAGATGATACCAGGGTCCTGTACCGGAGAGAGACACTTGACATACTTGTTCTCTCTCTCTCTCCTCTCCAATCTTTTTTCTCTTATTCAACAAAGATTGAGCATGTACTATGTGTTGAATGCTATACTAATGCTCAAGGGGAATCAGACAGGAATTGTTGTCATCACCACTCTTGCTACACCTATCCCATCCCAGCCCACCTAAGGCAGAGAAAAGGCAGAGGAAAGAGGCCACAGAGCAGAACCATTGGTCCAGTGCCTCCATAGTGCACCTGCGGGCAGAAAGGGCAGGTGTCTTCCTGGCATGTAGATGGTATTCTGTATGGTGACAGGGATGAAGGAAAACCCCTCTTTATTCCTTCTCACTCTATTACCTCCAGTCTTGTATGCTCATATGGCAGACAGACCAAACCTGAGAGATACAGTAGATGGGGGAGCGCTGTGCCTTCTGACCTGGGAAGAAGTTCCCAGTTGGAACCCAAAGTGTGCTCAAAAAGTCCCTTGGAGATGTACCGGTGACTTTTCTTAGTCAGTTATAGAAAGCCTCAAATGGTAATGGTGAAGAGTCAGATGGGTGGGGGGCAGCAAAGATTTTTTTCTGATATTTTCCATATGTACCCTAAATTCGGATCCATCTGCCATCCATATTGTGATCTTCATTGTAGGCTATGCCTGGTGAAGGCAACGTCTTGCTGTTAGGCTGCATTGTGAAACGCAGTAGTGCTTCCACCTGTGTGTGGCTACTTTTGGGTGCAAATTTCAGGAGGCTGTGGAGAAAGAGGAAGCTGATCAAAGCAGAGGACACAGGATGTTAAGTGTGCAGCACAGACGACTCAATCCTGATTTCAATTTCCAAATATCAGTAGAGCTGCAGATGGGAGGAAGAAGGAAGCTGGCTGTGCTTGATGCTAAGGGGTAGATATCTTGAGAGCTCACTGTGAGATACTTAGTGCTCTGCATGGTAATTGTATCCTTATAGGGATAGTTGTAGGGATTAAGTTAATATTACTAATGCATTTGTAGTAGGCACAGAATGAACACTTAAGGAATCCTTACTTGGAAAGACAGCTGGCTGGGAGGAGAGTGCTGGGACCCAATCCCAGAACTAGTTCCACATATTAGGCACTTTCTATCACAATCTCTCACCCAAATGCTACTTCCATAATGAAACACTTTGGCACATCCCAGCCACAGTGGGCCCTCAGTTATCCCCTTAACCCTCATCTTTATAATTATTTTTTTTTAGTAGATGAGGAAACCTGGAAAGCTTAAGTAACTAAATTTAAAGGTAGTTTATGGCAAACTAAGTTTACCTGCAGGAGCTCCTGACTCCCAGTAGGTTTCTTTTATAGTGAACCCAGTATCTCAAAATTTAGGGAGGAATGAGATACACCCACACACAGAGCAAAACAGCATATTTTGAATTTTTTTCCTACCTTCGCTAACACTCAGGATGCTTGTGATCAGTAACTCATTCCAGCAGCTCTGATTTGTCCAAGTGCAGTTCTCTGTATATTAATAGTGGCAAGCAGACAGGCCTGAAGTCTCAGTGGGAGAAATACTCTTTTAGAAGTTCTGCATGATTGAGCTGCAGCACGTTTTCCACCCGCACGGTGCCGGGATTCCAGATTACATCCGCACACTTCCCTATCCCTGTCTCCTCCCACCAAAGAGTCCAGCAAGTGCAGGCTGGGGTTGTGAGATCCACGTGTCAGATAGAGGGAAGACGTCCCAGTGGCTCTCTGGAGGTTGTGCTGAGGAGGGCTGGCTTGTGTTCTGGACTTCCCAAACAAAAAGCAAACAAAAAAATCTATCATCACATTGGTGTGGGGTGCCTGCTTCTCAAGAAATGGATTTCTTGGTGCCTGTCTCCACCTGCTACAGCACACACAGTTCCCACGAGTGAGAACTCCAAATGTCAAGAGGAGATAGATGGATAAGCTTGGGAAATAACTTTCGCATTAAAGGTGGGCCCCTGGTAGTGAACCTTACCCTACCTTTGTAATTGTACTCTCTTGACTTTCTTCATGTGCCTCCTTTTCCAGCCAAAGTAAACTGCTCATTTTGTCTGGGCCCCATGGCCGCCCTGCCTTCCGCTTGTACAGGTCTCTCTCCCCGGATGACCTCTGTGGGATACCTGAGCTCTTTAGCTCCCCACTTCCTGATCCCGCATGGCCTTTAAGGTACAGCTCATGTGCTGCCCCTAAAACCTTCCCGAATCTCCGAAATGGTGCTTCTCCTTTTGGTTATCTTGTCCCACTATTCATTCCACAGATACAGACTCAGTTCCTCCCAGGTGCTATTTTAAGTACGTTCAGTGAACAAAGATCCCTGACTTTGGAGAGTTTATACTCTGGCCTTTCCCTTATGTGCCACCTGGATACATTGTTCTCCTGTCAGACACTGTGCCACTCAAAGGAGATTGCTGCCATGTTGGACACCTGTATGTGTCACTTCAGTCACGTCCCATTTCTCTTGGCCTAAAAGCCTTGGGGCCGAGCATTCTCCTCTAGAACTTGTATGGATCCAAACTTACCTCCCTTCTCTTTGTCCTTCTCTTTTCCCTTCTCTCTATTTCAACTTTCTCTTTGACTTTGTCTACTCACCCTGCTGCAGTACTTTTGCTCATGCTTTTCTTCTGCGTGAAATGTTCTCTCTCTTCACCACTTTGTAACCTTCAAATATCAGTGTAAACACTACTTCCTGTAGGAGAGCTCTTGGACTAAATTAAACACCTTGACACTTTCATAGCATCATCGCTGTTATGTCCTGTACCTCAGTTGCTAATTTACATGTATCTGTGATTATATCACTATGATCTACCTCTCCATTCAGATGATAAATAACCAAGCATAGAGATGTAGTCTATCTTTATTTACCATGTGCAGTCCCAGCACACAGTAAGGAGTTAATAACTATTTTTAGAGTAAATGAATGAGTGAATGTTCCTTATCTGTCACACATGCTAGATTATCCATGAGAGGCTGACTTCCAAGCATCCTGGGCCTAATTTGGATTTCAACAGCTATAGCTATCCTATACAAGACCACAACAATGTCCACAGTTTGGCAGGCCTAAGACAATGCAGTGCGTAACATATATTAGAAGAAATTTTATTTGAGCACAAGCTGACAGTGGGATGTGTCAGTAGTATAGGTGGACACATTAAAGAAAGCCTCGTCGAAGGTGGGATAGGTCTGGGACTGTCTGTATTCTTGGCATTATCAAAGGAGAGGGTAGGTCATGCCTTAATTATCACTTTGGGCATATGAACTTTTAGTTAAAGACCTTACAGTAAATATAGAAAAATAGTCAAAATGAACATAACTTTCTTTTAGGTGGTGACAAAGCAACATTGGGTAGTAAATCTCTCTATTCTTGCTAGTCATCATCTTTTTAGAAAAGGCAATGGTAGGCTGGGGAGATGGCTCAGTGGCACAGCACCTGCCTGGCAAGCACAAGGTTCTGAGTTCGATTCCTGGTACCAAAAAAAATTTTTAAAAAGGCAATGGTAAAACCTTAAGTTCACCAAACAGAAAAGAATAGTTGCCCGTAAACAAAGCACAGTCATATGTATGAGGTTATTATGTTATTATTATGGTTGGAGAGAAGAACGGTATCATTATTTCTACATTTCACAGATGAGGAAATTGAGGCTCAGGGTAGTATGTTCAAGGACCTGTGGCTATTGTGTCAGCCAGGACTGGGCAGGTCACGGTGCAAGAACAAGAAAAGCAAAATCTCTGTGTATCTTAGAGGTTTACTCCTTGCTCCTGCTATTCGCTCACTGTGGGCTTGCTAGGGGATTCTGCACTATGACTCCTTCAGGAACCCGGGCTGCCAAAGCAGCCATCATTTCAAACAGTGCTGGTCATTGTGGTAGAGTGAAAGCCACATCTCTAGGGAATCTCACACTGCCAAGTCAGTGATCTTCCCTGGATGCGTACATGCCACTTGCACTTATAATTCATGGATTAGAGCTAGTCATAGGCCTTACCTATTCACAGAAGGGCCGGAAGGGAAATATTATGAAGTAGTTGAATGTAAATGTCCAATATGCAATTTTGTCAAGATATAAATGAGCTTCAGTGCTCATTCAAACTCAGAACGGTTGTCGTCCAGGTGAGTTTCTTGTCACTGTCATAGTGATGTTTGATTGAGACCTCGGTGCCCTCTATTTCTAGGACAATGCGTGTTGCTGTTCTCTTTTTTCAGTGCCAGTCACAACTACAGCTAATTTCACTAACACCAAGATGATCGTAATTAAAACTGTTTACTATTCTCTGTTTTCCAAAGATTACATACAAAAGTGATGCTTCATGATCTTACTGTGCTCACATTTTCTATGTTACCTCTCGTTTTACCGTTTTTCCTTGCTCCCCCTTTTTTTTTTTTTTTTCGACAAAGTCTCACTCTGTAGTTCAGTCTGGTCTTGCACTCACTGTGTAGCCCAGGCTGGCCTTGAACTCATGGCGATCCTCCATGCTGAGTGCTGGCATTATAGGCATGTGCCCCTGCACCCGGCTTTCCTTGTTCCTTATCATAGGTAACCACATTGCCTGGGCTCCTTTGCCCTCTGGCTTCCAGGTTGGGTTAGGCCATGAGGGGATAAGAGTTTGTCAGAAGGCTGAAGGACTGGAGGAGAAGATAACCCAGCATATTTCTTCATCTTGCTTTGGGTGGTATCTGCATGTTTATTACATCCCCTTCAAGACTCTAGAGCCTATTGGACAGAGCTACCTTGATTCCAGTGTCATCCTGCTGATCCTAGACCCTGGGCTTCTCCAGCCTCAGGTGTGATGGAAGTTTTCACTGGTGCTAACTTATGAGTAGCTCACCATCTCGTGTCTCACTTCTCAGCCGTACGTATGAATAACCCCTCGTATTAAGTTCCCTCTGTTTGAATACTTGGTTTCTGTATTCAGACAGCACTTTAATTAAACAGTTGGTCATTGGGGAAATTTATTTACATAGACATAGATCAAACCACAATTCCTCTGATAGTTCTGCTCTGGTATTTTAATTAGAGCTAACTCAAATCTTGTTGCAGACAGCATGTATAAGATCCTACCAGGCACCGTCCCCTCTTACCTTGCCAGTTTAACATGACATTAGGTTTTACAACCTCCTGGCTTTTAATTCCCCTGGACTCATACTTTGCCTCCTGACATGTCTCTCAGACTCTTCTTAACTTGGCAAATAGCTAAGATTTCTCAAGTCTGCCTCCTGACATTGGTTTGGAAATCAATATTACACCAAATATTGATTTCAGTAAACCCACAAGGTCTAAGAGACATAGTTCCTGCCATCATCATTCCTCAGGACCCTTCTATCCTCTCAGTGGGGAGAAGAATCAGACTTCCAGCACTCAAAGCTGTTTCATACCTTTCTAGATGCTGTTGCCTTGACTTACAATCCTGTTCTTCCATCTTCACCCAGGAGTTTTTTACTTGTTCTTTGGGACTTAGATCAAGTTTTGTATTTTCTTGAAAACTTATCCTGAGTTTGGCTAATGATGTTTTGAGTTTGAGGTTCCCAAAGTTCTCTGGACTTAATGTAATCAGACTGTCCTGCAGTTGATTGTTTGCTTGATTTTGTCCACCAGGAGGGTTGTGCTTTTTTGGAGGAATTATAACTTGATTATTTCTGCTTTCTCAGTGTCCTTTGTGAAGCATGGTACTAAATATGTCCTAAGAATGGAGAAAAATGACTTTGGGAAGGTTAAGAGTTTAGGCTGGGGAAAAGCTAACATCAAGAATGGATATATGTCTATCTCACTTATTCAAATACAACACTGTGGTTCTAGTCTGGTGTCTAGTATTGACACACTGGGCACCAATCAATTAATTTACCTGCAAAATGTATTTCAGAGTGGTTGAACCCTTTTAAACTATTGGCCCAGGTGGCTAAGATTTGAATCCTGATGAAAACCTACCAAGCATAACAACTATTTTTCAGACTAATGTGAACGAAACTGCTTGCTCCTGGCAAGAGTAGATCAACAAAAGTAACCACATCTCAAGACCATTCAGTCTAAACAAATTTGGGTAAAATTTATCCTGTCAATTTTCCCAAGATTTAGTTGTATCTTTTTTGTTGTTTTTGGATAGATGAATACATTGCTGTTTTTCTTTTTTGTCATAGCTCTGGACTTTGACAGGTCATTGTTTATGGTTTGGCAGGTCTCACTGGTAAATACCTGTCAAATGATTAATTACAAAAGATTTAAAATATGAACTTTTAGTGCATGGGGAGCAGTGATTGTTTTGTGAGTTTTTTCATTATATCCCATTAGCATCATATTCAGAAAGGAACAGCTCTTCAGAACACCAATGGCCACTTGTCCCACGCTCTCTCCAAAACTGGTACAGACCTTTCAAGTTTAGTTAAATTGGGTTCTACAGGTGATGATGGAGCTACCCATTTCTCTGTGAGTATACACAGAATATGCTTGTGTTCCAAGAACCAGAACTTCCATGTGGACTCCAGACAGAACGGAGGAGCAGTGATGATAAATATTCTGCAGAGAGATCCTCTGTTCTATCCCTTGGTTGCTAAAGTAGGAGAAAGTGTCTGGTCTTGGCATCAGGACACCAGGTTCTAAATCCTTTCTTGATTTGTGTTTTCTGAAAGATTGCGTATGGAAGAAGAATTTTTGCTTTTTTTTTGGCTTAAGGATTAATAGGTTGAAGATGCCTTAAAGAAGGAATGATTCTCAATGGAAGTGAATTTACCTGACCAAAGTTCTTGGTGTAT